CTCCTGCCTCTTTCCTGAAGTGACTCAAATGCAGACCTCAGCTCCATGTGGTCGAGGATCTCTGGAGAGAACAGGTGAGGTCAGGCGGCTTCACACCACCACTGACATAGCTGTGCCCATGTAACTGCCCTCCTTCCTCTCCTTCACCTTCTCTCCCATTCTTTTGCAGAGGAACAAAGCAGTTCATCTCACTCTGCCGTCCTCACTGTCCACTGAAGGACTTGTGCAGATCCCTTCTTAAAGGAGTACGGAATCTCTCTGGCGAATTCCTAATGAGTACAGTTATTTCCAAAATAAATATTAGAACAGGAAGGAGCACCAGCAGATGCTGCAGTTTAGATAAATCATGAGCTCTTGCGGTGTTGTGTGCCCCCAGGGAACACAGTCTGGGAACTGCTGTGTCTGTGCTCGTTCATGTTCATGCTCTAATTTTAGGCATTATCTTTAAAATGCCGTTCTGGGAGAAAATGAGCCTGCCTTGGCAATTCTTTTGTGTTTTTGTTTTCTGTTATTTTCACTTTGAATTCATGGATTTGCTTCATCGTGTTCCTCTTTCCTCCCCCCCCATGCTTGTTTTTTTTAATTAGATAAGTTGGAGACATACTTTTACTAAATATTTTATCATGGTTTTGATTTTTTATTGGTGTGTATGTGTGTGCTTGTGACGTCACATGTGTAGAAGTCAGGGAACAACTTACACCTTTTGGGAGTTGGTTTCCCCATGTGAATCCCATGGATTGAACTCAAGTTTCCAGGGTGAGTGGCAAGAACCCTTACTCACTGAGCCATCCCGCTGGGCCTTCATTTCGTGCTTTTCAATAAGAACATTCTTCTTCATACAATAAAATGATCAAATTCAGAACCATTGACAGCGGTACAATGAATGCTGTTACCTAATGTGTACAAAACATCTTACAGTCCATGTTCAAAATTTTCAGTTATCCTGTTAAATAACCCTGGTACAGTTATTTTTCTTTCCCATCAGGATGTAATTCAGGACCAGGATCACATTTTACACAGAGTTGTCATGTCTCCCTCTAAGCTAATATAGTTCATCACTGTGTTTATCTTTCTTATTTAGATATAGTTGAAGGCTACAGGGCAATTATTTTAAATTTTTTTCCCATGGGTACACTGAAGCTAGGCTCTTTTGGCAAGAGAACCCAGAGATGTCTAATTTTGAGACTTTGTTTGCTTTTCCAAATAGCAACTAATTCTCAATTCTGTGTGAGGTGAGTGTTTACAATCATGTTTAATTCTAAAACTACCCTGGAGGTACAAAGTGACAGTCCCACCAGGATGCCCTGTCTCCCAACACCAACCTCAAAGGGGATTCCAGCAACACACACTTATTGCATGACTGCAGTCAAGAGTCCCTGTAACTTTGTCAGGTTCAGTCATTTATCACATGATCCACAGCACCCAGTAAAACATTATACCCCTCTTAAAACTCTGTAATGGCTAAACTGAAGGGAACATAGTGTGGTGATATTTTGTTTATGATCTAACAAGTGAAGCTTTCCTGAAGATCAGAGTGCAAAGCTCGCCACACTAGCTAGCCTTAGAGACCTGAAGTGGTGGTACACCCCTTTCATCCCAGCACTTGGGAGACAGAGGCAGACAGATCTCTGTTAATTCAAGGCTTCCATAAACTACGCGAAATTTATCTAATCTAAAGGAGAAACAGAGCTCACACAAAGGTGACCTCAGCACTTGGGATCCCACACCTTTAATCCAAGCACTAGAGAGGAATATAAGGCAAGAGGAGACAGGAGCTCAGTGTAGTCTGAGGTTTTGTGGAGAAAGATTCAGTTTGGAGTACAATCTGAGGATGGGATCGCCCCTTTGGTCTGAACATTGGTAGAGGTGAGAGCTCTCTAGTAACTGACTGCTTTGCTTCTCTGGTCTTCAGCGTTAGCCCCAATGTCTGACTCTGAGTTTCTTTGTTAAGACCTATCAGAACTCCTTCAACAACACAGGATGAGGAATGGGGAAAGGGAGAAAGCTGTGGGCCCTCTCTGGCACTTGATTACCCCAGCACAAGGATATGAGGTCATCATAGAAGTCCCACTATCTTTCTCTCATGTGGTTATGTTGTGATTTTGGTGTGTAGATATAAATTCTACTACCTTGATTAAGTAGGTGAATTAAATCTTCTTCTTTATAAACTGAACTTGTAATTACAACATTCATTAAAAGATTATTACAGCCGGGCGGTGGTGGCGCACGCCTTTAATCCCAGCACTCGGGAGGCAGAGGCAGGTGGATCTCTGTGAGTTTGAGGCCAGGCTGGACCGATAGCCTCCAAAACAATACAGAGAAACCCTGTCTCGTAAAAACAAAAAACAAACAAACAAAAAAAGATTATTACAAAAGGTACATTTTCATTTTTAAGGACTGATTTAATATTATATACAATGATCCACTAATAGTTAATTTTTATTTCTTCAACCCATCACTATCAATATTCTTTCCACTTTTCTTAGATACAATGAAATCTGAAGATAAAAATGTCTAGGTTTGCAAAGATAAGAATTATTTTACTAGAAACATTTAGCTAACACCACCTGTGTGTCTGAGTAAAACCCAGTACATATTTGCAGGAAAAAATACCCCACAAGAATGCAGTGACACTTATAATGTAAAATATTTATACTGATGTATCTTTTCCTTTGAAGTTATCTTTAAAGCCAACTTCAGTTCTCCTCTCTTGAGAAAACTGGCCTCATTTCTGACCCCGTTTGATAGAATCTGGTGTAATTACCTACTTCCCTCACAGCTTCGGCTTTGCTTCAGACCAATTTGAAGAAAAAAATAGAAATGACCTTTGAAAGAGGAGGGCTTTCCTGAGTGAATATTCCATATTCCTGAGGGGAATTCCAAATGCAGCTTTTGGAGCAAGAATACTATTATTAGGTGGCGCACAGACCTTACTGGGGTCTGTATGCCCTGGAGTGCTCGTTCCGTTCTCACCCTTCCGTCTAGGCTTATTTCTGACTTCATTTTCTCAAATTGCAGTCCTAATGATCAAACTTTGTTTGAAGATTAAAAAGGTAAAAATGACCACATCTCACAATGATAGTATCATTTATTATAATGCTCCTGATTATTAATGACTACCAAGTATTAAGAATGAAGCAATGAATGAAAAAGAGAGAGATTTAAAAGAACTCACAGAATTAGAGAATATAAATATGGCCCAGTTATATATCTTGCTCATTTAAAGAATAATGGAAAACTATCTCTTCATCTTATTTAACCCACATTTAGAATGTTTGCGCATCCATCTGTCTGTCTGTCTATCCTTGGTAGTTCTTAGATGTGTATCCCTGTGTTTTAAAAAAATAAACTAGAGGGCTAGAGAGATGTGTAGTGGGAATTGGCCCTGCCCATGACCTTGAGCTATATGGCCTGATGTTAGAGGTGGCACTTCTTGTAACTTCTTTTAAAGTAAGAGGGAGCAGTGTCGACCTCTCTTGTGTGGTGGTTGGAGATGTGATCACAGCTTCTAGCCACCCCAGGGCAGGATACCAAGGTGGTTCTCTACCTTGTTGGTTATTCGTGAGTGTCCCCAATGAATATTTGATATCCTTTTATTCAGGCTCTCCTGGGTGTCCTTAGCACCTCCAACAGAGATGGCTTGGCAGCAGCTGCATATAAACAGGACTCGAGTTCAGCTTGTCACCCACGTCAGAGAGTACACAATGTCCCTAACTCTAACAACTTCCCTAACTCTAGCTTCATGGCATCTGGTACCTTCTGGGCCTCCTTGGGCACCTGCTTTCATGTGCGTACACACTTGCACATACAATTAAAAAAATTTTAAAGAGCAAAGAGATTCAAGAGCTAACAAAATCCTTACTTACACCCACTGTGGAAGTGCCAGCCGGTTGGAGGGCAGAGGGAGGAGACACACCTTCCGGCTGGCAACATCAGCAGCCTGAAGACCTCCACTACACTTTAAAACCAAACAAGGGTTCATGACTTTGATGCAGACAGGAATTTTAGACTTAGCCAGTTTATGAAGCAGAGTCAAGGTTTAAGAAAGCTATTGGTGTATGAGCTTAAGCATTAAGGTTAAGAGAAAGAAAGATGCTCAGAAGAAAGTAAGACATGCCCAGGAGTGTGGGTGGGGAGCACTCAAAGAGGAGGACTCACTGGGTGTTAAACAGTCACATACAGACTGGGGTGGGGTTTGAAGTTACTATCTTTAAAGAGCTGTTAAGAAACCTCAATGAGGCCACTGAATGGTTCCTCCTTTCTGCATCTGCAGAGATGCAGGAAGATTTAGTGGAAACAAAGCTGACAGATTTCTGGGTCAACAATTATATACATTCAGGCCTAGGCCATTGATGCTTTAGCATAAGATAGCTGTTTATAAAATGAGTATTAAGTCTATGCCAACAGCTCTTATGGAAAGTGTTGTTTGTGCTAGAATTGGAGGTTTCGGTTCAGCTAGCGAGAGGCTTTAGCCAGACTCGGGGATGAGGGCCCTCTTTTCTTTTCCATTTCCCCATAATTTCCATTTTTTGGTTTATCCTGACAGGGTACTGTGACTGTATAGAGTGATCCTTAGACTGGAAATTACATCACGTGTTGGAAAGGTTTTGGAAGAGCTGCCTTTCTGTGAGTGACATAGCAGACTGTAGACAGATGGGGACAGACAATCTTGTCAGAGATCAAAGAAGCTGCTTTTCCCTCAACCACAAAACTCTCTAAATATTTGTAAGCCATTTAGTTTGGAGCAGTTGTTAAAGTCTTGGTTTGGAATGGGACGCTTAGTTTTTGTAAACACTGAAAACCCAGAACGGCCCTTACATTTATCTTTGTCAAATATTATGGGCTTACATGATTTGATATCTGTCACAATAGTAAAATCATTACTAGATAGTAACAAGGAAAGTCAAAGGTTGGATTTCTCTAATCTAATGCATGAGAAAAAAATCAAATCAATCTTTGTACAGGTAGGTCAATAAATTGGATTTCTCTTTCCTTCCTAGGATCCTCGGTTCAATGCCGAAGTTGACCAAATTACAGGCTACAGAACACAGAGTATCCTTTGTATGCCAATTAAAAACCACAGAGAAGAGGTAAGTCAATTTTTCATTGCCTATAAAAGGTCACTTGGAAATATTTTTCGTTTTGAAAAATATTTTTTACTCTACACATATATGAAATAATATAGTGACAAATTATCATTCAAATTAATATATAAATATTTAAATATTCTGCTTCAGTTTTTTTAAACTGTAGTCACAGGGTTGAATGCTGATTAGAGACTTGCCCCTGACCTTTAATTGGTAAACAAATTGTATACATTTTACTTCCTATCTAATGGATAGGAATTCTAATGGATTTATTTCACATCGTATATTATGGTCTAACACTTGTTCCATAAATGGTCACCCAATTGCTATGGTTGTCAGTTGATTTCTTTGCATTTATTGCAATTTTGATCACCTAGAAATTATAGCTAATTTCAATAGCATGTATTTAGATGTGAAATTATAACAGGTATGTGAAAGTATTTTGCATTTTACCTATCTAGAAGATTTAGATTCTGTTAGCACTCAGTTCCCTCTTCATTTTAAACTTCTGTGAAGAAATTAGGAAACTGTCAATTAAATTGAATATGTTCGAATTGTATATTCTCAAATCTGAAGTCACATTACAACCAACTAGGGGGTTTTGAAAGATTGCCAGTTGAACAAGTCATGATTTTCAAGACAGTCAATAGAATGCTTATAGATGAAGCTGAGGTTTATTGTGAGAGTTAGCCAAACATAGTTGGAAGCCAGGAAGCCAATTATCTTCCTTCATTAACCCAGAGAACTATTACAGTGGGTGATGTAATTCAGTGTGAAACCTAAGACCTGAAAACCGTGGGGACTGCTAGGCAGGACCAACCAAATCCAAAGGCCTTAGGACCTAGAGTTCTGATGTCTGGAGGTGTGACGTGGCCAGCTCAGCTTGGGGAGAGGGCAATTTGCCACTGCTTGTCTGGTCTACCCAGACCCTGAGTGGATTGGTCAGTGTTTACATGTGTTGGTAGATGAAGCATGTTCCTCATGGGTCTGTTGATTCAGTGCTATTCCTTCCTGAGGCATCCTGACAGACATAGCCAAAATGGTTATACCTGTTGTCCGGGCTCACTAAAAGAGGTCGAAATTAACCTTTAGCACCAGGTAAGGCAGAATGTCTGGATTAACTGAAGCACAGAGCAGAGAAAGCAAACCGGATGTGGGACAAGGCTATGTATGAGCTGTAGCGACTGCCTCCACTGATGTACTTAGCCTCCCTAGATCCTGCACAAATAATAACACTCCCAACTAGGGACCGAGTGAACCTATGGGAGCTATGTCTGATCCAAACCAGCATAGCTGATGTGTTTTCAAAGCCCACTGTGGGTGCTAGTAAACTTGTACTCGTCTGTCTATCCTCAGCTGCATAGCAGAGAATTGTCTGCATGGTCCTTGGGACAGCGGAGTGTAAACTTATGCCTTCCTCGTATTGAATTTGTATCCGACAAGGGCCTTATGTCAAGCAGACCCACCTTCATTTCGATAGTGTCCCTTCTTTCCCTCTTACAGGCATACTTAGCTTTTCACTATGTGGGCGGGGCCAGTTCTGTCTTCCAGGACTGCTCAGATCACGAACCCCTAGTTAGGGTGTGTCTCCAGAATGAATGTGAGAAGAATGTCATTCTACTGGAGGAATGTCCCAGAGTTTTACAGTTCTTGGACTCCACAGCATTGGAGGGAGATAGGTGCGTGTAGATTGGTTAACCTGCTGCCCTCAGTTAATGAGACACTTCCTTTCCCCACAGCTATATGAGGACTACCTTTGCCCCACCCCACGTCACTGCCTGAGGCAAGCCTCCTGCTACCTGCACTTTTTCTCTCAGTTTCTACCCCGTCTCCCTCCATTTTTAATTCCTAGAGGATTTCTCATTTTGGGCTATCGAAGGTTAAGTTAAAGCTCCCAGGCTTGTGGTTATTCCTTGTTGTCAGGCCCTTAAGGTAGCTAAGTTTTAAATGATAGGTTCTTTTTTAGGGTGTGCCTGGCCGCTGCCCTGAGTCACATGGAGGGGCAGAACGGATATCTCAGGCCTTCTCTATTCCTCCCCACTACGGATCCTTCTGCAGGAGGAAACACTGTTTAACCAAAACCCACAACTGGTTTGGGGTTTGCGAAGCTGTGGCTTGTCCTGAGGCCAGGACTGCCTGTCTCTTCACCTCTGGGAGGAGGCTCCTGCTCCCTCCCCTACCCGGGAGCCTGCCTGGAGCTGTCTGACAGGGTTTGCTTCTTTTTGCTGCAGTTGTCAATGTTTTTCACCACAGGTTTCTGTCATCCCCTGTGTGAGTTTCCAAAGCTCTTCTTCACTGAACAGTGTAAAAACATGTTTCCTTATTATTTTTTTCTCTTTTATCACATCAGACAGAGGTAGCCTCTCGATCACTCACTTACCGGAAGTCTCTCAAAAAATTTTAAAGGAAAATTTCAGGCCCAGTGAGGCTTTCAGGAATAATTGTAAAGATCGTTTGCTCTGAGTTTGAAGCCCAAAGTTTTATTGCTTCCTGGATGACTAATGGGGTTAATCCCTGTGAGCTTCACTTTCCTTCTCTGCTAAGTGGGGGCAATAAAAGAGCCACCTCCAGGGCTGCATCCAGTTTGCCGAGGGCCTGGCTTGCTCTGAGACTCAGTGGAAACGCCAGGAAACACCATCTAGTGCTCTTTAAAAAACAATAATGGAACTTGTGAGGTAAAAGGTAGCTTTTAAGACTTCGTTCTCTCCTTTCACCATGTGGGAATTGAACTCATGTTTAGCAGCAAGCACCTTTACTTGCTGAGCTGTATTGCTTGCTGGCCCAACCTCTTGTTCTTGTGAGGTATTTGAACAAATTAAAATTTTCACTAGTTCTTTTCAATAATGTTATAATATTATATAACATAATGTGACATTACATTATAATCTATTAATGTAATGGATAGAGCAATTATTCATAAGTTGGGAATCACAGCTACTCATACAGTGCAGAGAGTAAGTTTTGTGTTCCTCTTTCTCCTCCTTCTTACCTCTTAAGATAGGGGTTAATGGGCTAGAAAAACAAAAACAAAACAAAGCTAAGTGAAGCTCGAGGAAACTGCAATATTCTATTTCAGCAGGGTCAAAGAGCTATTAGCCAGAGGCAAATGAATGGCAAAAGCAAAACCAAAAACCAAAAATCAATCAAAGGCGCTGGTGTGCAACAGGACTTGGGAAGTGACTGACTTATATGTAAAAAACAGTTGCCATATGTGACATTTCTGGAGTAAACACTGTTTTAATTGCCCTGAGGGCCTGTCACTTTTGTAACACCCCTGGAAGCTGTCATCTTATTCCCTGTTAACCTACAAGGAAATTTAAGACTGGAACATTCAGGGGTCTTGGTCTAAGACATGTAACTAGAAACTTTCAAACCAACATCCACAAGCGCACACTTGGCCTGTGCAGTCACAATGCGGAAAAGAGACTCTCTGAAACTCTGCTGTGGATGACATTTGAACTCTCGCTCCAACTGTTGCTTTACATGGGAAGGGGCGGAGGTAGTCTGATGTAGCAATATGGGCACAGCCAAGAGACATGGTTATCTTCTGAAGGCTCTTCAGTGTCACACCACTTAACGCAAAGATTCTTTTCAAAATATGAGACAAGGAAGGAAGGGGCAAAGACATACTGTCTAATATCTTAAGGGGAACCCATGGGCAAGTTTTTTACCTGGGACAAAAGAAGGTCTGGGGCTAAGCTGGGCCAGCATGCCCCAGAGAACAATCATGATGTGCCAATAAAGGAAACTGGAAGAAGAAATGCAAGTATGCTTTTCAGGCCTGCTATTAAATTTCATTCAGACGTAATTCTGGAGTTTTCAGGCAAAGGCACTTGAGACGGTTTTTATTTTAGTAACTAGCACTAGTTATTTATTTAAGCAGAGAGAATTCTCTTATGTTTAGTAAAAAAGTACAGAGAATTCAGCTGCCACTGGGCCAGATGGACTATTCCTGAAACATTGCCCTTCCCTGAAGTACTCTTCCTTGTGACATGCTAGAAACGAGTGTTCCTGTGTGTTTGTAGGATGAGAGACTCATCACTTGGAGCTTACTGCTGGTTTGTCTGCCCATCATTTGGGCAGGGGTGAGTAGGAGTCTGCAGGCAGGACATTATCAAATAATGCAAATGTTGAAACAAAACAAAAACATCTGCCAGTTTTTATGACATTCCCGTGAGATAAATACTTGGATGAATTAAAGTCACTTAATGCACACCTAAGTCATTAAATAAGACACAAAGACCTGTAATTCCAACTACAATATGCAGAAGTAAATTCTCTGTAGAACTGCAACTTTCATGACCCATGTTTGATTATTTTCAAATATTCTCACTTATTTTCCCTAACACTGAGTCTTAGTTTGACAAGTGAAGGTTGTGGGTCAAATGGCTGAGGTGTCTTTTATCACGTCAAAGCTGACATCAGCCACTAAGTTCTCCCTGCATTGCTTAAACCTTACCTGTTACAGGGTCCTCCTGGATGACAGACCCCTTCTCCTACACTAAATTTCTCCATCCCAGGGGCTGGGCAGTCCTCCCCCAAGCTGCCCTTCCCTATGTAGTCAACCATTTTAGTTATCTGGTCTTTTTCCTCTACTCTCTTTTGGGCCTCTTGGCTGGTACAAACCCTACCCCTCACTTGTCATCACATGGCTCAGGGTCATGTCCACTCTGGACTCTTTCAGGTGTCCCTGCCTCTGGCTATGCTCTCCTACATATCTATAAAAAGCTTTCTCCTTCACCATACCCAGGAGCTGCCATGCCCTTTCCTTTCCTTTGTATTTCTTTTCCCCCATTCAGTGGTTGAGTCATTGAAATATGTAGATGCTGGACTAAGCAAAAGAGACATGAGAAATAAATGGAACCCTGAGTGTGGTGGTGCAGCATTCTCTAAGTCCGGTGTTCTGAAAGTGGAGACAGGAGGGTTATCAATTCCAGATAAGCCTGGGTTGCCTAGAGAGACCTTATTTCAAAAAAGCAAAGGATAATAACTGCAATAACAGT